CTCTGCACTCCTCACTCCACCTGAGAGGGGTGCTTACCCAGGTGGGCTCTGTCAGAGATGATGAGCCTCTTCTCCCAATCCTTCAGCCCTGTGGGGACAGGCACAAGTGGCTTGGCACTCACAGGTATGCTGCAGTTCCTGGGAAACAGGCCCTCAGAAGGAGGCCCTGTGGCCACCTCTGTGTGCAGGGGCCACAGGCCTCTCCTCATTGCCCCTTCTCCTGAGGAGGCTCCCGGGCCCTCAGCCCATGGGACACCCCACAAACATTTGCAGGCTTGTTCAGTGCCAGGCAGGGAGCTGTGGCTGGTCTGAGTGCCTGGCCTTCCTCCATCTGGAGCCACTCTGAAGGCGACCTCTCTCCCTCAGTCTGGGCACCGCCTGGTGCCATGGCCCCTGACTCAGATTCTGCATGCATATTCTTCTCATACCTGCCTGGACTTGAGCCCTGAGGCTGACACTGTCCTTTGTCCCAGGGCCTCCCAGGATCCCCCTGCCTCTAGACAGCCCTCCACAGGATCTGACCTGCCCACACCCGGCTGTGGATCTCTGCCTGCCTGTGTGCCTGGCCATGGCTCCCCTGAACCCCCACGGGGCACGTACTTTCAGCCAGCCTGGCTGACCCCGTCGCCCTCAATCCTTGCTGCACGTCAGCATCCCTGGCTCCTTCCTGGGCTTCCCAAATCTGATTTCCAGGTGCCCCCAGCTGGTGACTCCCAGGCAGAACCCACAGTGAGTCTGGGCCTCCGTGCTGCTCTCCTGCACAGGTAGCACTCCCAGGCTCTGAGCAGGGCTGGCCAGCCACCCACCTGTGCCCCCATGGGAGAAAACCTCATGGGGGTGGCAGCCAACATGGCCAGGACAGGGCCAGCCTGCAGAGACTCAGACCCACCTTTCTTCTCATTCTTCTCTGCTTCTTCAAACAAGCCAGGCAGGTGAATGACCACCCCGTTGCCTGCAACAGAAGGCACAGGAGACAAGCCGCTTTCAGACATCTGCAACTTAGTCTGGGACAGTGTACCAGGGCACATCACATTCAGAGCAGCCAACAGGTATCCCCTGACAGGTGGACGGAGAGGCAAAACGAGGTCCAGCCACACTGTGGAGTATTTTTTAGTCTTTCAAGGAGAGGAAACCCTGGCACATGCTGCGGCATGAATGACCTCTGAGTAAAATGAACCAATCACAGAAGGACAAGGCCTATGTGATTCCACTTACATGCGGTCCCTACGGGAGCCAAAGTCACAGAGGGAGAGTGGTCAGCCTGGCCAGGGGAGTGGCAGTGTTCAATGTTTTGGAGTTTCCATGTGCTCAGATGAAAGTTCTGGGGATGGACACTCCCGAGATTGACCCAAAGGAGTGAAAAGCTTATGTCCAGGCAGTCCACACCCAAATGTTTACAGCAACTACCCAAACTGGGCAGCAGCCAGGGATCCCTTCAGTAGGTGGAGGGAAGAAGGGACCATGGCACAGATAATAGGACGTTAGGAAATAAGCCATCGTGCCGTGAAGACAGGAGGCGAGCTCAACATGCATTACTCCACGGAAGAAGCCAGTCTGAGCAGGGCTCGTGCTGCCAACCTCCTGCCTCCTGGAAAAGGCACAACTGTGGAGACAGTGGAGGGACCTGTGCTTGCCAGGGGTTGGTGGGTGGACAGGGAGCACAGGGAGCACAGGTGGACAGTGACACAGCCATGTGGACCGCTGCAGCAGTGGACACGTCATCATACATGGGTCCAAATGTACCGACCTACAATTCGGCGGCTGTGGGCTCTGGATGGCTGCCTGTGCCAGTGTAGGCACATTGACTGCATGGGGACTGGGGGAGAGGGCTGGTAAGGGACACTGCGTTTTCAGGGCAGGGGTCTGTGAAAATCTGTACTATCTGCTCAATTTCCCTGTGAGCCTAAAACTGCTCTTAAAAATAAGGTCTATTAAAAAAATAAAATGGTTAAAACAGTAAATGTTTTGTATGCTTTACCACAATTAAAAAATGGTAAAAACAAAACCCCAATCCAGCATGAACACATTTATGGAGACAGAAAGCAGGCCAGCAGTTGCTGGGGTCTGGGTGGGAGGAAGGATTGCCAGCAAATGATCACGTGGGACTTCTGGGAATGATGAAAATGTTCTAAAATTGATTTGAAAATGTTTTTTTGTGGTGATGGTTGCACATCTTTTGGAGTAGATGAATTTTATGGTAGGTACATTATACATCATCAGTAAGACAGTTATGTTTTATTTAAATGGAATGAAATAGGAAAGAACACAGCCCCAGTGGTTCCCAGGATCCCAGAAGCACCCCCCAGGGATCTATGCAGGCATCAGAGGGAGGGAAGCCTAGGGAGGGAAGGCGCCATGTCCAGGAGCACAGAACACTGGTGTGGGGCTCGGCTACAGCCTGAACACTAAGCCCTTTCCTCTGGTATGGGGAGCAGCCCCTGAGGCCACCTGTTGCCTTCCAGGAGGACTAACCCCTTCATTGGCTTCTGCCTGGCTGATCACAGAACAATCCCAGCTTAGGCAGACAGGACATCAGTCCAGATGGGAGTGACCCAGAGACCACACAAGCCCTGGTGAGTGCTAAAGGTTATCTAAATGCCACAGCATCTTGAAATAACCAAGTAGCAGAGTCCTAGAGTGTCGCAAGCTGAGGAACCTCAGCTGAGCCCTGGAGCGTCCCATCTACAGGGCACCGCCCAGCTGCGCCTGGCCTGCCAGCCTGAGCTGGTGCTCCCTGGTAGCCAGCCTGGGCTGGGGTTGCAGGCTCTACCCTGTTCTCCAAGACCAGGGTGAGCACCCTCCCGGTCATGTGATACCTCTTTGGCCTCGTTTCCCACCAAGCAGGGTCAGGGCCCCAAAGGGCAGGCTATGGCAGGAGAAGGCATCCTGCAGCACAGTCTGGGGCTGCCAGGCAGCCTGCCTCCTGGTCTGCGGGGACATAAGTGGACAGGTCACTTCCCTGGTCTGTCCTCACTCCACGCTGGAGGGTCCAGAGGCAGGATCCACCCCCACTGGATAGGCTCATGGGTGGTTCTTACTTCTGCCCCAGCCCCTGGCTGCCCTTGGCTGCTACCCCAGCTGGCATCTTCCTTCCTCTCTCATAGTCAACGGGCTAGGCCCTGTGCCCTCGCTGGGTACCAGCCTGCAGGGCCACTTCCTAACTGGCAAGTGTGGCCTTGCTGAAATCATGGAAGAAGCTGAAAAGAACAGGAGCAGAAGGAGACTAGCCTGTCTTGGGGACCAGGAAAAGCTTTTCTAAGTAAGGAGATCTCAGGCTTAGAGCTGAGTCCAGGCTGGGCAGGAGAGGTGGCGTCTGGAGAGACCCTCAAAGTCCTGGTGGCGGGAGGTGGCTTCACCTCCTGGGGCACTGAGGGGTCACTGGTGGCTACAGCCAGGTCCTTAGTTAGGGGCTGTGCTTGGGCCCTGGAGGAGGTGGAGGATGAGGGTGGAGGGGTGAGGAGGGGCCTCCACAGTATCTAGGAGAGGCAGGAATGGAGATTGCTAGGCAGCTGCAGCAGCCCTTGCGAGGGATGACTACGCCTTGTCCACACAAGCCAGGCCTCCAGGTGTGTGGAAGCCAGGCCCTCCTTACAGGTAGCACTTGCATTCTGGGGAGTCTCTGTGCCTCTCAGCCCATGAGGCCAACGGCTGGGGTAGGGGGGTACTGGTATGCCAGCTCACAGGGCTCTGAGGACAGCATCCAGACCAGGCAATTCTGTACCTGTGTGGGGACAGCCCCTCAGCCCATGGTGTCCATGCCCTCTCAGCTGGGAGGGTGTCAAGCACTGGTGCATGGACAGGGAGCACTCACCAATGAAGGAAACAGCCTTGGTGTTGATGATGCCACTGGGCAGCAGGTGGAAGTCGTACTCCTTGCCATCCACCACCACGGTGTGGCCAGCATTGTTGCCCCCCTGGAATAGAAACCTGGCTGAGGATGTTCAGACTCAGAGTGACCCCAGCTGCCCACTGCCCTGGCTTTCCCTGGGGGCAGATCCAAGTGCAGACCTCCTCTGTCCCTGCAGCACGGGCCACTGGGCTTGAGGGGTCTGGTTTTGGGCTGGCCCTGCGTGCATCTGGGCTAGGTTAGCATCCTGCTCCTCTGCTGACCTGCAGGGTCGATCAGGGGACTGTGTTGGAGAGGATCTGGCCCAGACTGGTACCAACCCCTTCAGGAAGTGGCTCAGTGAAGAATGAGGGGCCCACAGCCTGACCTGCCCTTGCCCCTTTTAGCGGTGTCCCCTCTCTTTATCCTAGCACCTCCTTTCTAAGAATGCAAAAGAAAAAGCACTTCTGAGCCAGCCCTGTCCTGGGGATACCAGGAGCTCTGTAGGATTCTGAGTTAGGGATGGCTCAAACCTGGCCACATGCCACAAACAACCCATGGGGAGCCCAAGAGGGGGTGTTACCTGAGCTCCGTTACCTCTGACCAGGTTGCTGCCCCCACACCTGAGCAGCTCTGCCCTTCCCTCCCTGGCTCTAGCAGTGCAGGTGGGCTGGAGGCATGATAAGTGCCTGGGGCGCAGCTAGTAAGGCCCCCACATCCAGCAACTGGGCCTACACTGCATGTGGCTTAGGGAGTGGCAGCACCTTGAAGCTCCCATGCTGGCCCATTACCCCTGAAGCCAGATGCCCCACCCATAGCATGGGGTGCCCCTCGAGCACCTTTGGGGTCTTGGTGCCACCTTACGGGACCCCTGGGTCAGGAGTGGCCAAGCCTGGGGCTATAGTCCCACTGTATACCACTGGAGGGTGTGCCACGAGGGTGGACAGGGCTGGGAAGGATGCTTAGGTTGGGGAAGGGGCTTGTGCCAAAGCCCACCCCCATGGCCTGGTCTCTCTTCCCTTTGGGTCCTGTCCCTGCTGGGACCACTCGGATCCTACACCCCAGAGCCTGGCTCCAGCCCCACCTCCCTACAGAAAAGTTCCCCAGCCACACTCCACTGTTACCTGCCTTGCAGGGTGGCCTCAGCCCCTCCCACCCAGGTACTGGTGCCACCCCATGTCCTTCCTTGCTTTCCCCAGGGATGACCCTTGATGATGACAGAAGGGTGGTCTGAGGGCACTGGAGAGCTGAGGCGAGCAGGCACCTGTGAGCACAGATGTCTGAACCCTGCTCCCCACACTCGGGACGATGACACAGGCCCTTGATAGACTAATAGGACCTAGGTTTGGGGTCACTTGTGCCCCCAGGGACACAAGCTCTATCTCTGCCCCTGCACATGTAGTAACCCCGCACACTTGGTTCCTGACAGCCTCTGTCAAACTTGCCATTTGGGGGTGGCAGTCAGGGGCTGTGTTGTCTGTGGATAATGGGAAATGGAGGTCCTGAGAGCCGGGAAGGTCACTGATGACCCCATCGCCCTCCCCCATCGCCCTCCCAGGCTGGTAGGCCTCTGGGGACCGTGAGGTGCCAGGCCAAGTGCTGCCTGCTACAACCTGGGGATAGACGCTGATGGAAGGATGCCCTGCCCCCGCCCGCCGCCTCTTGGTGCCCAGGCCAATGTCAGTAGCCTGAGGACATGTTCACAGATGAGGGCCAGTAGAACCCCCCCCACACCCCCTGTTCATGTGGGGGTAAATACAGGTACTTAGGAACAGAGGCAGCCTGTAGTGGGACAGCAGGTGTCAGATGACCGCAGGGCCCTGACAGCTGCAGTGCCCAGCCTCAAGCTACTCCCACAGCAAAGGCACCCAAGGAGAGTAGGGCAAAGAGGGACTGACTAGTCCAATGAGGTCTGGGCACAGGGCAGGCTGGGGACTCTGCCCTGCTGAGGCTGACTCTGTGGCTGGCCATGGAGAAGGGACCACAGGTCAGCCAGCCCGAGCCCTGCACGGACTACCTACTCAGCCCCGCCCACCCAGAGAGCCACCTCCACTTGGGGGCCACCTCCTCTCCTTCTCTGGCCTGACCCAGCCCCAGCCCTTTCCTTTGGTGTCTGTGACTGAGTGTCTAGAACAGCCTCCTGTGCAGAGATCCTCATCCTCCCCTCTTCCTCCCTCTCAGGAGTAAGTGGGCAGAAAGAGTTAGGTTGGGCATGCCCTTGTTGGAAGCGCCTGGGCTCGACTTTGCCCCCACACAGCCCCTCCAGGTTGGGCTCCAGGCTCCCACCATCTGGCCAGCAGGCCTCTCTTGCTGTGAGGAGTTCTGTGAGCTCTGCCCTGTCTGCTGCTGAGCAGCAGGCAGCGATGGCCCAGCAAAACCAAGGTCCCTGTGATCAGGGAAGCCCAGAGTCCTCTGAGGTCATCTGGGGGCCTACAGGGCTAAAGGAGGGGAGGAGCACCTACTGCCCTCACTTGCAGGTGTCTCCCCACACAGAGGCTCCCTCCTCCCACAGCATCCCACAATGCCGGCTCCCAGGGCCCTCAGACAATGAGCTGCCCCAGCCTTGCTTTCCAGTCAGCAGTCTTGCCCTGCCCTGCCCAGCCCACCCCTTGCCCTAGGGACAGAGCCTGCAGTCTGTTGGGTTGTCCATTGACCTCTAACCTCACCTTGGTTGCCCTCACCTTGGTGCCCACTCAGCCCCTGCCCCTCAACCTTATGGGTTAGGACTCTGGACATGTCTACTTGGCCCTAGGGGCTGGAAAGGCATCTGCCCCTTTCTTCCTTGAGATGCACTGTGAGCCCTACCTGAAGCAGCACCTGGCCCAAGTGAGCCACCTTCTGGGGCCCAGACTCCTGACTTTCTATCCCTATCACTTACCAAATGCATTTCTCTGACAGCCAGGATTCCTCTGCCCTGGCAGACCCCTGGCCACCACACCAACCCCACAGGCCAGTTTCCTACTCATGCACAGGAAGGACAGGGCAATGGGGTATTGGTCTGCACCTCTCCCTCCGGGACTGGGAGCAACTCAAGGTGGGGACTAACTCTTCTGCCTCTGCCTGGCAGCCAGTGAGTGTGGATCAGACGGGCAGACACAGGGAGCAGAGTGGTGAACACTGGGGGATAGCCCCAGTGGAAGTCACTCAGGGATGTGAGGCTCCTGGGCCCAACCTTTCTCAGCAGTGTGGGGCATCAGCAATGCCAGCATGGCCACACCACAGAAGACACAGCAGAGGCCTTGTGATCTCATGTCCCTGTGAACACTGCCATAGCTGGCTACTACCAGCCTAAGGCCTACTGCACCCCCACCCCTGTGCCCTGGCTGGAGTCAGAGGGCAGGAGGCACTCAATATGGAAACCCATGATCAGATGCAAAAGCATGAGCCTGGAGGTCCTGGTAGGGAGACCAGAGAATCCCAGGAAGGTTATCTTTGGAGACAGGCAATGGAGCTGGGGATAAAGACTGGCTGCTGCCTGCTTGGGATGGGGTGCAGCAGGGCAGACAGTGGCTTCAGTTGCCTACTGGAGGGGTGAGGAAGTGGATACACAGCCAGCCCGAGGGGAAGGAAACATGGCCACATGGTGGTGGTGCCCAGAAGTGCTAAGAAGAGAGAGACCATGCACCCAGGCAGAGGGGGCATGAGGTCTCGGTCCTGGGAGGTGGGGAGGGCAGACCCAGCTCAGGGAACCAAGCCTGGAGGGAAGAAGGGGTGGAAGGAGAGGAGGAAGCCGGCACAGCCTGACAGACTCAAGGGTGGGGACAGGACTGCCATGGCAGAAAGAGATGGGGGCCACAGGTGGACAGTGGGGGACGCAAAACAGGCTCAGAAGGTCCTATGGCCAAAGAGCAGTGACAGTAGGGACCCTAGACCTGATGCTGGAAGGAGAGGAAGCCCTTGGGGTCCTGGGATGTCCTGACCACAGGTCCTGCATGGGAGGGGGCAGGGCAGCCCTGGACTACCTCTGTGCAGGATGGGAACCTTGGTGTGAAGGGCCATGAGAAGGCTTGGTGGAGAGTACCAGTATAGTGAGAACCAGAGCCGGTGCCACTTGGAGGCCAGGGACATGTGGCTGGACCCTCCCTCTGCCAGACTCTGACAACTTGGAATGGGCAGACATGGGGGACACAAGAAGTGGGGAACTCTGGGAGGCTGGTGGCAGGTGAGGCCCCCACAGCCGGGGGAGGTACAGGCGTAGGTGCTGCAAAGCCTGGGGCCATTGAGCACTCACAGGGCAGCTGGGCACCCAGAGGGGAGTCTCTGCCTTGGCCTTCTAGGAGTGGGCCCACTGAAAGCTCAAGCAGCCAGGTCCTGTGCAATCCTTGTGCACAGGTGGTGCCTACAAGGGCTCTACAGGCTGCAGTCACTTCCCATCCTCAAGGTCTCTGAGCCTCGGTTTCCTCACCTGTAAAGAACCTCTGCAGAACAACCCTGCCTCCCTGGTGAGTGTGTCAGGAGGCTGCAGGGGAGCTGGCTCTGTGGGCTCCAAGACACAGCCAGATGTCTCCTCCCACTAAGTTGGCGTTCCTTCAGGAGGGGATGTGCTTTGACCTTTGATATCACAGGGTCAAAGGAGAGGTTGAGCTGGGTGAAGGGTGCCTAGGGCCCCACGTTTGGAGATGAGTCTGGCCTGCTGTGCCCTCTGCCGGGCCTGTGTGCTGTGGGGAGTGTGTGGGGCCTGGCCTGTTGATCCTGTGGCACAGCAATTTGGGCCCTGTTCCAGAACCATCTGCACAGCTGGAGGCAGAGCCTTGCAGCTTGAGATGAGCACCATGGAGTGTGACCACAAAGCCCTCAGCTCACTGTGGGCAGCACCAGGTGGGCCCCAGACCGACCTATGGGAACCTGTGAGCTGGTAGGAGCTGCAGCTCATACAATGGGGCCCTGGGCATCACCAAAGCAGAGGCCTGAGGAGAGGTGTTGGCCCTGGCTGCCTTGGTGCTGGGCACCCTAGAGGGAAGGAGCTGTAGATGGCTAGACAGGTGCATCGTCAGGCTGCAGGGGGACAGGGGTCTGGGGGATCTCTGAGGAGTAGGAGAAACAGAGAGAGGGTGGGAGATAAACTCTCCAGGAAGCCACCTTCACTGTCCCCACTCGGCAGGAGCAACCATAGTGGCTGAGGCCCATCTGCTGGGGCCAGATCGCCCTGAGCTGGGCAGGTTGTTGGACTGGTTCCCTTCTCTAATGGTGGATGCCCTGAGCCCCAGACCTCCTTTCGGCATGTGGACAGAGGCCACAGAACCAGAGGAAAGAGCTGCAGCACATGACCTTGCCTCATCCGGCGCAGCAGCCTCCAGACATGGATCCAAACTCCAGTGGTGCCAATGGAGGCACCCCAAAGCTGACACTTTGTGCCCTAAGTTGTAAGTCCATCTACAAGCAGCAAGGCTTGAGCAGCCCTGGCACAGGGTAGGGACCCATGGAGACCCTGGGCAGTGGCCCAAGAGAGTGCCCAGTGACCAGCACTGGTCAGAACACAGCCGGCAGAGGCCCTGCCCTGGGGACAAGCTGTGTCTGGCTTTTTCAGTGGCACTGCCAGCCACTGGGTCATCTGGCCAGGAGCCTATGGAGCCTCCCTAGGTGTGCCTCACTTCAGGTCCCTACCCCCAGCTGTTCCACCCCAGGGCACCAGGCCCACTGCCCACCTCTGCCTCTTCTTGGTTGACTCTCTAGAGTCACCCCCTCTCCAGCAAGCAGCTCTCACCCCCTGATGAGGAGCATTGATCCCTGTGAGGAGCTGGTCAGCCCTGTCCCAGACTCAGACTGGCCCCAGGTGATCACAGCAGGATGAGGAAGGGGGTGCCTTGGGGGCCCCCAAAATATCACCTTCATGGAGGACCCAAGCCTCACTCCATGGCTGGCCCCACCCCCTGAGGATCAGGTGTCCTCAACTCAGCTACTTGTATTTATAGCTCTGCCGCTGGCCGGATGCCCCGAGGGGGAGTCTGGTGGAGGAGGGACATGAGTGTGAGTTCAAGGGGGTTGGTTGAGAGGTGTGTGTGGGTGTGTGGGGTGGCCCCAGGAAAAGTGTTGGGAGGGGAAGGAATCCAAGTGGCATGACTCCGTCAGGGCACGGGAGGACAGGGTCCGTCTGGGTTCTGGGAGGTGGGCTCGCTGGGCGCTGGGAAAGGGACCCGGGCCCGCCCGAACCTGACAGCGGCTGATGATGTCGGCGTCCGTGGCAAGCAGGTCCACCACCTTGCCTTTGCCCTCGTCCCCCCACTGCGCGCCCAGCACCACCGTCACGCGGGAGCCCGTCGCCGCCGCCTCCTGCTGCTGCCGCCCCCGCTTGACGCCGCCCGCGCCGGGGGGCCGGTCGTTGGAGGCTCGGGTTCCTGACATGCTTGTTTCGCTGGTCTGCTGCGCTGGCCTGCCTGAGAGCCCTCCGAGGCCCACGCGCCCGCGCCATTAAATGCAGCCGGCCCCGGGCGGGGGACGGGCCAGGGGCGGGCCCGGGCGGGCGCAGTGACGCGCCTTGGTGACCTCCAGGCCACCACCCGGAAGCCGAGTCGGGTCGCCGGCACTTGGGGGTGGAGGTGCACCGACAGAGGGCAAAACAGGCAGAAGGCCGGGGGCGCCCAGGGAGTGCGAATGGGGGCCCTAGGCGAGCCTGCCGGGGGCCAAGGTCTGGCGCTGTGACCCCACACCATCCGGCTCAGGACTTCGAGGGGGAGGGGGGTATCCAGAAGCTGTGGGGAGTGGTCATCCCCTACAAGGCGGAAGTGTGGCTTGCAAAAGGGAGCTGTGTCGCTGCGTCCTACCAGAGGGTCTGCACGAGGTGGGGAGCCACACCTGCTCAGCGGGGACCCCCGCAGCGCGGGGCAAGGAGCGCCCCCAGGTGGCTGCGGAAACACGCGCGGATTAGCAGGCCACCTCCCCTGCTCGCCTAGCAGCTCACAGGGCCCCAAATGCCTTTCAGGCCGTTGTGTGGCCAGGCCTGACTGTAGAAGCAGGTGGGCTTCTCCGGAGCCCAGCAGTATGGTCGCCAGCCCTCTGCACCCAAATCTGGGGTAAAGGAACCTGTGCTGTTAGGGTCACCTGGCCAGCAGGGTGGCCAACAGGGAGCAGCCTCAGGGCATCCCAACCCTGGGCAGAGCCCATGTTCTAGAGGCCCCCTCCAGACCACCTTCATTTCCCTGCCTCTGGCGGGACTGGCCTAGAAGGGATGGTCTGCAGTCGTCCTGGGTCCCCAGCTGGGGTCGCTGCCTCACTGCCCCTCATCCCCTGCTCAGTGGATGCAGGTCTGGAGGAGGCTTACCTAGTTGATGGGAGAAGGGACTCTGGATGGTTCCTGGGAGTAGAAGCCTATCAATCAGGCCGTGGCCCCAGGACTGGAGGGGTGTCCTTATTTTTTTCTCCCTGGGGAGCTCTGGCTGACTGACCTCTGGACTGGGCTTGAGAGCTACCAGGCACCCTTGTGCTCCTGGGGCAGCTCCCAGGCCAGTGACCAGGAACCTAGGGAGACTGGACACTTCCCTTAGGAGAGTGGGCCCTGGGCTGGTCCTGCTAAGATCACTGACGGAGAGTTAGTGTTAGTGATGTGAGTGGGGCAGAGGCCTGCACCACGCTCTCCTATAGCCTCTGCCCTTCCCTCCTGGGCCTGTCCAGGGGAGGGGAACTGCTACCCACTGGCCCTCCCTGGCTGAGAGCAGCCTCCCTCATTTTCCTCTGGCCACTAGTAGGTCACTCCACCCCTCTGTGCCCTCTTCTCACATGGGGAACACTGAACTTCCCTTTCCCCAAGTGCTGTTGTGGGGAAGTGCTGCTGCTACAGCAGTCAGGGGGCTACAAGTCCTGTGATCACTGTCCCCAGGAGAAAGATGCAGTCCTTGGTGCCACCAAGGGGGTGACAGCTGGCCAGGGTGGGGAGCAGAGAGAGCACGCCAGCCACCAGTGGGAAGGGGCCAGAGCACTGCCCATTCCAGTGTCCATGCTGTCTACAGTGCAGGAGCAGAGGACTGTCTGCAGCCTCAAGGCTGGACCAGGAGGGGGCTGTGGCCCCGTGGGACTGAGCCAGGGCATTGCTGGCAGGGCAGGTGAGGAAGAAGAGGACTGCAGCAGGAGAAGTTCACAGGATCACAGGTCTGCTTCCAGATGGGAGAAACAGAGCATTCTCAATGCCTACCAGGAACCAGCCCCAACAAGGGCTGCTTCCCTTGTGTTTCCTGGGTGGGTTCCATGGCATGGGGGCATGGGCTGTGAGCCCTTCCCAGGAGATTCAGGGCTAGCAGGTGTGAGTCTGAGACTCCAGGGGTTCCAGGGACATGCTAGACCACCCCATTAAGGGAGTTCAGACTGGCTCTGCAGAGTCAGGATTGGGCCAGTGGTTGCTGGCTGAGCACCCACACCCCCAGGTCCTGGGCTATAAATATAGCTGTGGGTGGGGTGGGGGCAGGGAACAGGGCTTTTCTAAAAACAGCCCTGTTCAGGCCCAGCAGCTGGAGTGCTGCCAGTCACACGGCCTGGCCCAGATTAGAGGCCTGTCACCAGGGTAGAGGAAAGCATGGCCAGAGCTCCTGAGCTTAGAGGCTGCCCTGTGTGATTCCGGGAATTGGCCTCCACAAAACTTTGCATATCCCAAAGGCCCTCGAGGGTACATGGGCTCAGTCACCTGTGGTTTCCACTCTTTGGGGGCCTTGCCTCGCCATGGACCATAGCAGCCTGCCTACTGCTCACATCCAGGAACCCTGAGGTGCAAGGTATAGCAGAGCTCCCATCTGTCTGGTTTCCTAGGGGCACTGACCCACTACACCAGCTTCCCAAGAAGCTGTGAGACAAAATCCTCTCACACAGGTTCTCAGCCCCTACCTCTCCAGGCAGTTCGTGGCAAGAGGGGAGGCAGAGGAAGAGCTATTTAACTTAAAAGGAACAGCTGCCCTAGGCAGGCATGGTAGCTTATACCTGTAATCCTAGCACTCTGGGAGGCTGTGGTGGGTGGACTCCTTGAGCTCAGAGAACAGCCTGAGCAAGAGTGAGACCCAGTCTCTAAAAGAATCTGGGTGCTGGCTCGG